TGCAAGATATCAAATAAAGATCCCTGCGCAAAATTTGTGGTTGGTTCAATCCGTATCAAACCAGAGTGAAATTTTGAAATCGGTGCTACGTGACTAGCAGTCCTTTTGCAAAAAAAAAATAAAAAAAGATTGTATGGAACTTAAACACCCATTAGCTGCTGGGCTTGATCAGCCTGTTTGAGGCCTACAAAAAAATGCAGTAATATGATCTGCAAATTCCTGGAGCTAAAAGTGTGACCAAAAATCTTGTTACCTTAGTAACATGGAGAAAGAGTAAACATTGTTAATTTACAAATACTGCATGAAGGTGATAACGATTATCTCAATTATACTGTAATACTTGGTCAAAACAACTTCAAAACATTGAATTGTCTTCTAATACTGAAATAGAAAAGACACTGATTGACTGAATATCACTCACCAGTGATGGTAACACTGAAGCTCCTAATGATGCTGAATCTGCTGCTGTTGATTTGTAAATAATAAAGTCCAGAGTCTGTGATTCTGGTGTTTGTGACGGTCAGAGATCCAGTCTGATGATCTAGCTTCAGTCTGTCTCTGAATCTCTCTCTACACTGATCATCTGTACAGATCTTACTCTGATCTCCAGTGATTTCAGCCATGAGAGAGTCATTAAAATACTACGTCATCACATTATCTGGGTTTTTTACTACACCAGGATCTAAACTGACCGATTCTCCCATTTTCTTTATTTTATCTAGTTCAGCAGCAGAAATGTCTGTAATACAAACCAACATGAGACTCTATCTGTCAAAACTAATTAAATAGTTTTAAACTGAACTGAATTCATTTAGAGGTACTGAAAAGTAGCCATGTATGTCACTAGTGATGAGATTCAAATACAAAGTTCACTAAATGACTCACCTCTAACAGTAACATTGAATATTGTTTCAGTGTTGCGGCTGATGATCTCTAGTTGATAGAGTTCAGAGTCTGTGATTCTGGTGTTTGTGATGGTCAGAGATCCAGTCTGATGATCCACTTCCAGTCTGTCTCTGAATCTCTCTTTACACTGATCATCTGTACAGATCTTACTCTGATCTCCAGTGATTTCAGCAATGCGACTGCTATTAAAATACCATTTTATTCTTTCTTGTTGAGATTTGTTAAGTCCAGTGTATAGACAGACTGAATCTCCCTCCATCACTGACACTGACACTACATCTGCAGCAACATCAGACACAACTGAAGAAGAAATAACAGACTGTAAGTGGAGAAATATGTCTCAAATGCAATACATGCATGACACATGCAAAACAAAACAGAATAAGAACATTGCTGATTTAAACATTAACTCATCACACAAACATGCATGAGTCTCACAGATGATCTATGAGTTGATCTCACAGTCATACAACTGTATGAACATTATACAAACCACGTCTTGATTCATATATCACTTTTTATATGCATTTGTGCATTCAGTCATGAATGCTATATATTTGAGTGTTGTTAATTACGACTATATTAATTGGTTTCCTTAAAAATTAAACCATCCGCTCTAGTTTTTTTTTTATCTCCACACAAAACATATCAACATGTAAATCTAAACCCGCAGCTAATTAAAACAGTTAGTAATAATAAATTTCTGTCGAGTGTTAAGTGAGTAAATCCGATAAATATGGAACGGCATCACAGCTCCATCGCTTTCTTTAGGCTGCTATCAGAGAGAGTGTTACAAATAGATGTCTTACCAGGCACGAAAAATGCACACAATATGATGCACAAAATAAAGACCTTCATTTTGAATTAATGCAGACTCCGTGTAAATAAAAATAGTGTTCTGTCGCTTTAAGGCCAATTTACACCGCACTGACAGACGCAGACCAACGCCGACAGCCGACCGAGTGCAGCATGTCAATTCTCAGACTTTCCGTTTCTCAGAACGCACTGATCAGAAAAACCCGACGAACGTGTTTGTGCAGTGGTTGAGAACATCCCTTATCAAGTGAAAGTGAAAGTGAAAGTAAGGCTACTAATTAAAGTTAGTTCGAAGGCAAATAACCAAAGATGTGTCAAAACAACGCGAATGAAGCAAGCCCTTCAATGTAAAATCTGTTTTCTAAAAAAACTCTTCTTCTCTATTTTAAGTAGGTATTAAATATTACAAACTAAATAGCCATGTTCATTACAGAAGATTGATAGGCGCTATTCGTCGATCGAAGCCGTTGTAAAATACACCTTGGACCTCTTATTCTAAACATTGCTGCAGAACAACATGATGGTAGAATTACTGTTTGTTAAATTATTTTGTTACTGCATGCTCTTTTTATGAAGGTATAAAAGGTGTGGTTTTCAGTTATTTCAGAACCGCTACAGCTATGCTCACACTGCAGGAAATGTGGCCCAAACCCCCTTTTGCTATATCCTCTGTGATTGTTTTATTTCATGACAGTGTGAACAGCACAAAACACATGGAGCCTCATTTATAAAGTGTTTGTACACACATATTTGATTTTAGAGTGTGTGTGTGCTTAAAGGGATAGTTCACCCAAAAATAAAAATTATTTACTGTCATTAATTACTCACCCTCGTGTTGTTCCAAACCCGTAAGACCTCCGTTCATCTTTGGAACATAAATTAAGATATTTTTGATGGAATCTGAGAGCTCTCTGAACCTCCCATAGACAGCAAGGATCCTTACACGAACAAGGTCCAGAAATATAGCAAGGAGATCGGTAAAATAATCCATGTGACATCAGGGGTTCAACGCGAATGAAGCAAGCCCTTCAATGTGAAATCTGTTTTCTAAAAAACTCTTCTCTATTTTAAGTAGGTATTAAATATTACAAACTAAATAACAGTGTTCATTACAGAAGATTGATAGGTGCTATTCGTCGTTTTCGCCACATGGTGGCGCGATCGAAGCCGTTGTAAAATACACCTGGGACCTCTTCTGCTAAACATTGCTGCAGAACAACATGATGGTAGAATTACTATTTGTTAAATTATTTTGTGACTGCATGCTCTTTTTATGAAGGTATAAAAGGTGTGGTTTTCAGTTATTTCAGAACCGCTACAGCTATGCTCACACTGCAGGAAATGTGGCCCAAACCCCCTTTTGCTATATCCTCTGTGATTGTTTTCTTTTATGATGGCTGTTGTTGTTTATTAAATATTGTTGTTCAATAAATAATAATTTATATAAATAATAGTAGTATTTAGTATTGGTAAACGGCGTGTGTGTGTGTTCATAACGGTGATTTTAGTTTCATTGTTCCGCTATTAGATGGTGACAAGAGACTGTTTTATGAGTCAGAAGTAAAGACTTTTAAATTGAAAAATACTAAAGCACAGTTTTGAACAAGGAACAATATTTTTCTTTCAAAACCAGCGTGTACACAGCCAACAAATGCACCGAGCATTGCTGTCATCAGAAATCACCCTTAACAGATGAAAGGATAGTACGAGCCTATCGGACATTCAAATTAATTGTGATTCAGAAGTATACTGTTTATACTGTTTTATAAACACAATTATCACACGAGTAGACGTGACATATGGCTGTATATCGGCACTGCTGTGATTCGGCCGTAGGTAATCACAGCGTGCCAATATACAGCCATATCTCACGTCACGTCTAAACTTAAGGGGTCGTACTGTAAACATTTAAAAACGTTGCTCTCTTTTTCCTCATTTTCGTCCTCCTTATCACGAATTCGCTAACTTCTGCAGCACATCAGCTTACAAATGAACACATAACTGCTTATTTCAGCGGCCGCCGTGTTTACTCACGAATGAAAGCGTGCCTCATGCCGTCTTGGAAAAAAGGACTTTAATTCGTTCACACTCCCCCTAAAGTCCCCTTAGTTGTTATAAAATAACAGTAAACCATGGCGTCTTAGGTTTTATTGCTTTATTGTGCAATCTAATTAAGAAAATTGGCTCTGTGCTTTGTTTTGCCATTACTAGCATTTTGTTTACTATCCCTACACTGTAAAAAATGACCGTGAATCTAATGGTAAAAGACTGTAAAAATGCTACAGTAAAAACCTGTTAAATGCTTAATGGTAAATTCCCCTACTATATACGGTGAAAAACTGTATTGGACATTAATTTTACGGTAGTATACCGTTTTTGGAAGTGGAAAAAGACCGTATAATTTACAGTGAATAACCGTAAATTGACATTCCCAGAATTCCCTGCGTTAAATTTCAGATTTGATGTTTTTTGTTGAAATAACTATGTTTCTTCTTAGTTTTTTCTTATCAGTTTTGTATATTAGGGTTGTGTGTTACACCTAATGTTGATAAATGAATGTTTATTGCATTATTTCAGTTTCATGTGTGATACAATGATGGTGTTTAGTGTTTGTGTGAATGACACCGTGCACCTTCTATATATGTTACTATATAAAAGCTGCTTGTGATGGCCTTTGGTTCATCATGTGACTTTCTCATCACCACCTGCATTTGGTGGTTATCAGTGTATTACAAAGGTACAAAACAGATTTCAGTACTTCAATAGGTTGGTATATTAACATTATATCAGTTAATAAAATTACTATTTATTTAACTGTAAATTTAAGTTAAAACAGCAAAACCTAAAACGTTGCTACCGTATTTTTTACGGTAAAATTCTGGCAACCACAGCTGCCGTTTTTTTACTGTAAATTTTACGGAATTTTTTTACAGTGTACCTTAGTGTATTGAGTTTTGTAACAATGATTTCAACTAGCAATCAAGTCATGTATGCACACATAATAAACAATACAACTTTCACTTGTAGCCTTGAGGTAAAGGCAGAAAGTGTGCAAATGAGGCAGTGCACAAAAGTACTGAACATAAAATAGTGAAAATTATACACACAATTAAACATCACATACTGTACAAACTAAACATTATAAGTATAAATGTAAAAAAAAATGCTTAGTAGTTATTTCTTGTGTATTTGACGATCAGATATAGATGTTCTCTTTTCTGTCCGACATATCAAAGTCACGCTGATTTTTCCTTGATACAAGGCTTCAATAATTAATGATGGGTAACCTCTGACTGGTTTTCATGAATTTGATTGTAAATCTGTTCAGTGTAGGAAAGAAGTCATACTGTGACTGTAAGGTTCATAACCGCAGCAAAGGAAGAAGCCCTTCACCAACAAACTAAACACAGATGAAACAGAACAGCCACTGTGTTGCACAAGATATTTGTCCACCTAACAGATCAAATCATTTCTGAAGAAAACTGACCACAGCATGTTTCAGTTTGACTCAGAAACTCAGCTGCTTGTGTCACAGCTCAGTAAGATTGGCAATGTGAGATGATCTTTGCCATTTACAACAATTGAATGATTATAAAACCACTTTAATATCCATAAGATCTGAAATATCCAAAGATCATGAAATGCAGGTTGACTGATCCAATATTCACATAATTTATTAGTATGTGTGTATATTATTGTTTATTAGTACTTATAAAGCACATATTAATGCCTTATTCTGCATGACAATATTTTAGATCCCTTAATCTGATCTCATACCTAAACTTAACAACTACCTTACAAACTATTAATTAGCAATGAATTAGGAGTTACTATTGAGGCAAAAGTCATAGTTAATAGTTAATGGTGAGAATTGGTCCCCAAACGAAAGTGTGATTATATAGCTAATCAAAACACACATCAGAGAGTCTGTGTGTGTGTGTGTGTGTGTGTGTGTGTGTGTGTGTGAACTAAGAGGGTCTAACTCTGTCGTGGGAGGATTCACATCATATTGATTTTTATCAGCAGATATTCTTATTATTGCATCAGACTTTTCACTGAACAATTGAAGAAAATGATTCACACACTTGGTTTGTTCAGTTTGTACAGTTGGTGTCTGATTGGTAAGTTACAAATATATTTTTATGGCCTGATTTCTTCCTTTATCACAGTAATAACGCTTCTGTTTTAATGAGCCAAATACAAAAATATGAAACGTGTCAATTTATTTATTATTAATTTATTTAAAGTGTCAAGAGGAATTAAACTTGTAGTTTTACTCAGCTGTAATTAACTTGTCATGTAACTTTACATATTTATACTACTCTACAAGCAGATAAAACACATTAAAGATCAAATGACTGGTTCACATTGTCTGTTCATGCATATCAACTTTCTTTTGCGTCTCTGATTCTATTCTTCAGTTCATGTTTAAAGGTTACAGACAACATCTGATTTCACGCTTTATAAACCATCAGGAGCCTTAATCTGTGACAAAACATGTTCTCCAGGTGTGTTTGGTGAGTCAGTGTCAGTGATGGAGGGAGATACTGTCACTCTAAACACTGATGTTACTCAAATACATGAAGATGACGACATACTGTGGAATTTTGGATTGAAGAAGTCTCTGATAGCTACAATCAGTAGAGATGCTGGAATCTTTTAACACATCTGATGCTTCTGATGGGAGATTCAGAGACAGACTGAAGCTGGACAAACAGACTGGATCTCTGACCATCACAAACACCACAACTCAACATGCTGGAGTCTATGAAGTAAAGATAACTGGAGCAAAACGAACAACAAAAACATTCAGTGTTTCTGTCTATGGTGAGTAAAGATCATTTGTCAGAATGTCCACATATTCTTGTTTAATTAAATGAATATTTGGGGTTCAGTACAAGTTAAGCTTTTTTGACTGCATTTGTAGCATAAGTTTGATTAACACATACACACAAACAATTCTGAGTCATCCCTTTTTTAATGGACATTACAGTGAGGCACTTGAAATGAAAGTGAATGGGGGATTGACAACAGTGTAAACCTCCATCATAAGCATTTCAATGGATAACCCAGATTTGTGCTTTTCTGCTAGACAATTGGAAATACAATTTTTGTGGTAATTAACATCATGCACCACAAATGCTGGTGACACACCACAACGAAAATAACAGTTTAGAATTATCCATATTTCTGTTCATTCTCTTGTTTTCCAGCTCATCTGCCGACTCCTGACATTATCAGAGACTGTTCACAGCAGAATTGTTCATTGGTGTGTTCAGTGGTGAATGTGGGTCATGTGACTCTGTCCTGGTACAAAGGAAACAGTTTATTGTCCAGCATCAGTGTGTCTGATCTCAGCATCAGTCTCTCTCTACCTCTGGAGGTGGAATATCAGGATAAAAACACCTACAGCTGTGTGCTCAACAATCCCATCAGCAACCAGACTCAACACAACATCAGCATCACTGAACTCTGTCAGCCATGTCCAGGTATGTTGGTGTTGATATTTTTGTGATTAAGCTGATCTCTCAGTTGTACAGTGTTGATGTTTCAGTGTTTCTTGTAGATCAGATGAACATATTCACTCACATTAATGGTACATTTTGTCCATTACAGATCAGGGCCTACCTTTGTTTTACATAGTGCTGATTTCTGCTGCTGGATCTCTGTTGATTGTAGCTACAGTCGGGATGTGCTGCATCTTCAGGAAATGTACAAAAACAGGTCAGCAGAACAAGCAATAAATCTGTACAAATATTTATCTTTTTTAAAACGTAAATTTTGATACAATATTTAAACTGTCTGTTAATGCAGACCAGACACAAGTGGAAGACAGAACCGGACCAGCATTGTTTAAACCAACAAAAGGAAAAATGGTAAGATTGTAAAAAGTCAATTTTTTGTATCTCTTGACCAGTTGGTGGGACTGTGCTGAAACTGCTCGCGTTCCCTTAGGTTATGCTTGGTATAACACACACCAATTTTGGTCTGAAACTGCTAAAGCGTTGCGGAGATATAGCCTCACAATAATTTTTGCTCAAACTTTGGCAAATTTGTAACAGTGCTTTACAAAAATGGTTTGGTCTATCAAAAATCTTTTCGTTTTTTTGACATAGTCTGAAGATGATCTGAGCATATTTTGGTGAAAATCAGACAAAACGGTCTAGGAAGAGTTTGAAAAAGTAGATTTTTTGGAAAATTCTAAGTTGCACTCAGAAACATGAGTGCTAGTTTGGCCTGTTGGTGGTGCTAGAGAGTTTGAGTTAAATACTCCAAATTTATTTGATTAATGTTGAGACTGTCCTATATTTGTGTGCCAAATTTCACACAACTTTCCCACAAGATGTTTTATGGGCTGCCATAGACTTCATGAGCAGAGGAGTAAGAAGAAAACAAATGGATACAATAGGTGCCGACACACCTTTGGTGCTTGGTCCCTAAATAAACTGGCTTGCTATTTTCAAATAACCCAGTAAATTTTGTACCATTAGTTTTGCACTGAAAAAAAAGTTGGACACAAAGTTGTTAAGCCATGTGTCCTGTGCTGAAGTCTGGCCTCGAGCTGCAGCTGCTCTGCGGTTCATGATTATCTGAGGTGAAATGCAGCTTTAGCAGCCATTGGTAACAAACAACTTATCTTTGGTCCTGGGAAAGACAGTCATTCTCAGCGCATTGGCTGACCAACCTTCAGAAATAATCTGTAATCAGTTTGATGATTTAACTGCTTAAAAAGTCATGTGATGAACGAGATTCATATCATTTCCTCTTGCTGCTCCATGTTAGCGTCTCTTCTGTAGTAGTAGTTTTTCAAAACAAAACAGTTTGTAGATTAAACTTTGCAAACCTAAGTTAGTCTGCTAATAATTGCTGTCACATCAGCAGAATTCTGATTGTGTTTGTGTTTCCTTGCAGAAATCAAAGGAGGAGCCTGTGTATGAAAATATCCCCCCAAGATGATGATTAAATACTGTATCTACTGGAATTGTTAGAGTTCATGCATCACACCTTTTCTTTTTCACATTTATTCTCTGACTGAATGTCTATATTTATTTCCCCCACCATATGAACGTACATTGTCCAAATATTGTTTAAAATGTTGTTTTTCTGTTTTAGTTTAAGGTGCACAAATAGCATACAGAAACTCAACTAAAGTGTTATATGGTCTCAACATTAGGGAATTTATCTAACTCCCACCCTTCACCATGCTCATTTGTCTATCAATTACTATAAATTAGCGTGTAGTTTAAGTTACCATGATAACAAAACTCTCTGAAAACCATCCCACCTTCTTGAGTCCGAAAATTCAAAGTTTGCTCAAACTAAATACAAACTTACCTGCAACCAAAACCCGCTTCGTGCAACAGACGTCACAATGACAACACGTGACATTCACGTTCTCGAACACTTTTACAAGTTGGAATGGCGTGAAAGCACCTTAATCTCACTTTCTATGAGGATTTTGTGTTGAAAATTAACAAATGCAAAACGTCCATGTTGTTTCTATACAAATATGTAATATAGTTTTTCAGAATTGTTCCAATTTCCTTTTTTGAGGACAGTGGCATCTGATAGCATACTAGTTTTAATGTAATAGCAATCACTAGGTCTATAATAACTGTTGCTGTTTACCAACTGTGTACATTTTTGTAACGAGCATCACACAGCATGTCGTCCCCCTTGGAATTTTAAGGTTCTATGTGTAAACTATGTGTAAGTTTTTCACATATTCTTATTCTGTGACAACTTATTTACATTATGTGATATATTTTGCAATGTTGTGTACATTTTGGGACTTTTTATTTAAACAACAAAAAGGTTCTATCTACACAGTCGAATGGAATGCAAAAACTTTGAAGCTCAAAACCTCAAAACTACTCTGAATGCAGATAGAACCATATAATTCCAAGGGGACGATGTGCTTATTATAAACTTTCTGGTATTTCATGAATAGGGCCTACCTAAAGCAAAATGCATGCTGCAGTCTAGTGCGCCATCTAGTGTCATAATCAAGAATATTCCAAAAATAAAAGTAAAAGTTTAGTACAGTATAGTGTTAAAATCACACTTCAGTTGTAGACACACAATGAACTCTCACATCATGAATTAATATTAGCTTAGTTAAACTTAAAAATATTTTTTTGCCGAACAAACTCACATTTGACTTGTTATGAGAGAATCTGATCTGTTTTAATAGCATTTACTGTATCGGATGAACATACTCAATGATTGTTCACTCCATGAACAAGCTCCCTTCCTTTTTCCACAACATAGTGTTTTATGTGGATTCCACTTTAAGGACTTTTAATGAAACTCAAATGTAAATATTCTAATATTTTGAGATACTGGATTTTTGACTTTCATGAGTTGTAAGCTCTAATCATCAAAATTAAAACAAAAAAACTTTTGAAATGTTTTATTTTACATGTCTAGAATACATGAAAGTTTCTCTTTTTGAAATAAGTTACAAAAAAACTTTTGAGTTGCACCTGTATATATATATATATATATATGTATATATATATATACACTTTCATATATAACTATATAAAACTATAAAATTTTAAATATGTTCTTGTTTTCTGAAGTACTAAAAGCATTTACGTTGGTTAACTACAATAAAAATGCACATCTCTACATCTCTTATTTAACAAATCTCATATTGTTTTATTAAACCAGCTGTATGTGATACTTGCCATTCTGTTCTTCTTGTGCAATTCTTCTGTGGCAGCAGTAAATCACACAAGCAGTTACTCCTTGACAGACAGTCATTATTACAGTCACCATATAAACATTCACTGCACTGTCTAGATATTCAGCTTGCTGACGGGTCCCAAATATCGATCAAATAGCCTAAATGGTAGACCCTACTTTCACTGTGTTCAATACATACAACATGCATTATTGTTATTTGAATATGTAAATATACATAACGGTAACTTCAGGGGAAAGCAATTTACAGTAGATGTTGTGGGTGAAAAAACAAATAAAACTTTAGAGTGCTACTTCTCTCCTCCGTAGTATCTTAAGTTTACTCAAAACTATCACTCAAAATTATCTTTGAGTTTCCCAACTTAAATACGACTTAAGGTGTTCATGTGCAATTTCCTACTAAGAAACTTGTATTTTTACAACAATTCAGATAGCACTTGAAGCCAGCATAAATGGAATATGGCCCAAAGCACAAAACAGGCCACCCAATACAAGCCCAAACCTGTCTGTTTTCATAAAGGAGCTCATAGGCCACTCCCTTTTCATTTCATTTTCTATTATCAATGTCTTAAAGGGGTCATATGATGTTACTAAAAATAACATTATTTTGTGTATTTGGTGTAATGCAATGTGTTTATGCGGTTTAAGATCTAGTCATGTCCTCTTTTGGAAGACCACACAAAGTAGTTTCACTTTCACAGCGAAACACACAGCGTCACACACAGCGGCCTAGAGTGAGGAATGGCCGGCGGACTTGAGAACGGCGCAGCCGGCGGATTCGACGAAGGAGCGTCCGGCGTGCTTACGGCAACCACATGTGACGATCCCGGGCTGGACTCTGCTTCTTCCACGGTGAAAGACGATCCGGCGATCCACAGCGCAAAGTTGATGTATTTCCTCAGCGACCAGCACGGATCAGCTCTAGGCATGACGAAGCGGATATCGTCCTCTTTTGGAAGACCAAACAAAGTAGTTTCGCTTTCATAACAAAACACAGCGTCTCCACAGCATGGCGGCGACGGCAAAAACCTTCTTTCTTTGTGTGAACATTTGGGAGGCATTATGCAAATCTTCCCACATCGTGACATAGGTATGTGGGGGCGTGTTAGAACGAGCCGTTTTAGGTAGGCGTGGTTGACTCTTAACTTTTATAAAGAATATATCTTTGGATTTGAGACTTTAGTCTTTGCAACTTTATAGATCTTCTTTATGCACCAAGAGCTTGTAACACTTCAAAGAGAAAGGAAAAATTGAAATCGCATATGACCCCTTTAAAAAAGCAATAACAAGGAATTTTACGTGAATTTCAGTCGAAGTTTAAGTGAATGGAGCAAAATTTGCCCAAACGTTCGTCGTTAGATTTTATCGTTGATTAAAAGAGAGATAATAAACAAATGTCTTACCGTGGTCAAGTAAGAACAAGATCACCCTGAGAAAAATAAAGAGAGGCTTCATCTTCACCAATTTTTTCCTCAGACAAATTAATGTTGATTCTGATTTATAAAAGTGTTGTGCTCATCTGCTTCACTGGAGACGCAGATGTTTCACTAGTCAAAGTGAAAGTAATAAGCTGGAGCCTGGACTGTAGTGTGATGTAGACAAAAAAAAAAAAAAAGAAGGCCCTATTTTACGCCGTGTTCTGTTTGTAAAATAGTATCTAAATATTTCTATCTACCATCTACTTCTACCGATGACAGAAAAAGCCTAAGCTTTTAACACTATAGAACCGCCACGGGGTAAATTTTACCCGTGGCTGTTTTTAAAACGTACATAAAAGATTTTTAATAAAACATTTAAGTCTCCCAGTCACTGAATTTTACTAAAATTGTGTGATTTACAATCCCCTGTTGTTAAAAACTGTTTAGATAAAACCAGATCAAAAAACGGGTTTGAATTAGCTGAATTAGCGGTTATCAGTTTCATAAATAAGACAAAATGAGTAAAAGAAGGCGATTTATGAATGCTGAAGAGATATAAGGAGCACTAAATGCCATGAGCGATAGAAAGCCTGAAGTGTGGGGAGAACGTCTTGTCGGCTCAGCATCTGACGGCGATCAATATATTTAGACGTTTTATCATAATGTTACTAATTGTTCAAAATTTGGATTAATTATTTAATTTTTGTTTTGCAATTTCTATCGTTTATTGTTCGCTTCTGTGTTGCTATTTATTCTAGTCTGCCTGTTTCCTGAATAAAAAAAATCAGATCTGATGTAGGCTAATGAATAAAACCTTTTTTTTTAATTACCCGAAGTTTATTGGTGTTCTTCTTGTATACTTCAAATGATAAATTATATAACTAAACAAATTAATAATTAATTAGGTGAAGCTGTGCGCTTGAATTTGTCATGGCGTCATCCTATGCAATGTGGTGAATTATTATTGCTCATTATTGTCTATAGGCTATTTTAGTAATTTAAATAACATAGGTTATCTTAATATATTGATTAATGACATTGTATTATAATAGCCTGTTACACCACCTAAATATGTATTTACTTACTTCTAATTCTGGTTGTCAGTGCAGGCTTGTTTTGCTTAATATTGACCGTTATGAAAAGTGACTAGTGTAGCCTGCATAAAAAATGTTTTGAACATAAAACAACAGGACAAAAATATAGTTGATAACTAGACATAATCATTTCATGACTCTAGACACTTCGTTGTGAAGACAGTAGCATAATACAGTGAAATAATATGTTATTTAGCCATTCAGAAACAGCTGTCATGTGCAACGGTAAAATTTACCCGCTGGCGGTTTTAGGTATAGAGCGACCCCTACCGGTTCTGGTGTTAATAACAGTAATTATTTAAGTGAATGGTTAAAAAATAGATTAGCCTACATTAATCCGGTCAAAATGCGTGTGCACCATGATGGTGATTATATTCTGTATTTATAGTTCTGTTGTTTATATAAATTCCCTTTTCCCACTGTTATCAGCTGATATTGTTACAACCTTCACAGACTTTCACTGAAATCTTTTAAAAACGTTCTCTCTCTCTTTTCCAGAAAGCTAGAAGATAATGTGGAATATGTGGAGTAACCAAAACTAGTTGCATGATTGCTTCCACAATAGGAATCTCGTGGAACAACCTCAGTCTGACACAGACAGCATGATATAAATCTTAATTATTTTCAGCAGTGCCATTTTCAGTGTTCTAAACTTAATGTTAAAAATGCCAGTGGACATACAGTACAGCAGGGTCATTATATGGGGTTGATGGGAGATGGACTGGTGAAATTGTTCCTTAAAAATATGTTTTGTTGTACAGCAAGTTTTAACAATAATCAGTATATCTAGTGCAACACACATATGCAATTTACTCAATATACCCATTTATACTTTTTTTTTTACTACTGTACAAAAAATGTGGTTGATCTACAAACAGGTTCTGCATAAAATGTGGTTTTACTGTTAGTTTGTGGTTGATGTCAGTTTATGAGTGTTTGAGAAGTCAGTATTGTTTCAAATGATTTAAAAACCTTCAAAAAATCTCTGACTGTAAAACATATGAAACTATATATGAATGTTGTCAATGTGGAAAGACACTTTTTTACCATTTAAAGTGCCCCTATTATGGGTAATGAAAGGTTCATATTTTGGTTTTGGGAGTCCCCAGTAACAGGTTGACATGCATGCAAAGTCAAAAAACTCTTTGTCTTATAAAATGCGTTTATTTTTTACTTTACTTGCTCAACGTCTCCCAAATATTCGTTCAATGATTCATTTTTCCAAACCCCTCCTTTGCGTGACGCTAATCTGTGGTGATTGGTCTCATTTCCATTTCATCATGTCTGTAATGCCTGAAAAAGCAGCATTTGTGAGTGCAGTGCTGCTTTGTGTACAGCGTTACCGGGGAAACCGCTGTTTTTACCGCTCCAAAAGTGGCACCTAGTGGTAAAAAATGAATTTGCATTTTCATTCAGACCAACCCGAAAAGACCAACAAGTGGGCGGGCAATATGCTAATTTTTCATGTTGAGGTCACCATGAAACGGCTTGGGATTCGTTTTAAAAAGGACTTGTTTCAATGATTCAGAGTCGACTTTCTTTTGAGAGACAATAACTTCATACATGGTGCACTTTCAGATTTAAAACGTTGCAGGATTTTTTCATTCACTTTGAGCTGTGTTAAGGCGGGCGTACACGGTGCGATTTTTGCTGTCGTACGAGCTCACAGGCGATTTTTTTCTCTCGGGAGAAAATCGCAGATGCTCGCATGGTCGCGGCTCGTACCGTGTGAGAAGAATTACGGGCCGATCAGAGACGTTACGAGCACCTCCCGACCTCCCGATAATTTTCAAACATGTAAAAAAAAATCGGATGCTGTCGGTTTAAATTTGTGGCGTATGTGCGGTTGAACAAGACGATTTGGCGATCCATCTGAAGTTGACCAATCAGATGACAAAAACCATATAGCCTATAATAATTTTAGTTTAATTATACAGTTCTATTTTTTATTTGTTATTTCGAATGTGCCAAATTTGCCGTTCAGATTTATGAATGAATATACCTGTTGAAGTCAGAAATTCAGAAATGGCCTACTCCTTCGAGTTCTTTATGAAGAACAGAAAGTCCATGCTTTTCTCTGCTTTTCATCCATTCTCTTTGACATGTCCTTTGTCTTCGTTTTTTATTTTTTTTGTACGTCACAAGCCGCCTGCCACAAAGAAAACGATTTCGTCCTCAGAATCCATATTTTTATGAATGGCGCGAAACATAATCCTTACATCAGAGTTTGTAAAATCGTAGTAAATTCGTGTCGTGTGTGACTGCCTCCGTACGATTTTCGGATAAACTCAATCGTGACATGAGCCAGGGCTCACGACGTTCCGACCTTCAGAATCGCACCGTGTACGCCCGCCTTTACACACTGCATGAAAGGCAATTTTCAAAAATCCATAATAGGGGCACTTTAATTACATAATTTCAAGATCTAATATCAGGAGTTAATTGGCCAAGTTAGCCAGAAAAACCTTTCATCTGTTATGAAACACTTGAAATAGTTTTTCTTTAGAATTACAGGTGATTAGAAATTGTTCATATTGCTAAGGTTTTTGTTGAACAGCTAGTTAGCTTGAGTAAAGGTCAAAGGTTGTGTGTGTTGAACATACAGACACACAATGATCACTCTACAAATGTTAGTAGTTAGTGTTAGGTAAGCTCAGTTCTATAATGACAACTCTCGGAGGGATTGGCATGGTAATGCACATGACAATGTTAACGTATTTGGTCTTGGCGGAATAGATCTGCTACGCTGCTGCTGCTGCAGCAGAGCAAGTACAGAGACTTGCTACTGCTAATATATCCACAAAATGTTGCTGTGAGCATGTAAGAAATACTGCTGCTGCACATATGACATGCGAATAACCCCCATATAGCATACATGAAATCACCCTGTAGCAGATCTATGCAGGTGGAGCTGGGGAAGATGGAGGGTTTCTGAAGTGTGCCACAAAATGCTACGACAAAAAAGCAAGGTATTTGAATATTGAGCAGTAAGCTCATTGGCTACCGATACAGGAGAGAACCAATCAGTTGCCATGTGACAATGATGTCACCAGGTCAGATTGAGCTAGACCTATCGGACTGCGCCATCTAGAGTTTCATGCCAGAACTCTGCATTTATTTCTGATTATAAACTCTAAAATCATGACAAACTTACAGATTTCAGCAGTTATGGGTTAATCAGATCTGTTTTTATTGCCATCTATCTGTAAGAAAATGCAGGGGCTCAAAGTATAAGGCACCCTTTCCTTGGCTGAAGCAATGTTAAAGAAAGCAAAGAAATTGTGTCAAGATATTCTGCTCAAAAAGGCACTAAATGATCATCTCTTCCAGAGCTTGTATCACAGGCTTTTGATGAGTTTGGCCTATTGGTACTTCAGCTCTGACAGAGCAATTTTTCCTATAAAATTACCATTACAAAAATAGGCACCATGATGGCATTCATAAATCCTATTGTTCTTGTAAGACAGTGTTCAGTAGGCAGTTGAGATGACTCTGAACGTGAAACAGATCTGATGAACCTGAAAAAAAAAGAAAAAAAAAAAAGATTAGCACAATTAATTCTCTTCCACTGTACAGATAAACGGATCTAAACTGGGATCAAACATACTTTTCCTGTTCAAATACAGGCGATCATTTCTATCATGCAGTGATGACATTCTGCAATAGAAACAACAGGAAAGCTAAATTAAATTATACAAAATGACACCAAAATACAGCACAGCTTAACATGCTTTAAAAACGGGAAAAAAAAAAACAAGAAATGGAAGTAAATAGATCATGTGAAGTAGTGGCCATTCACCTTACACGCCCCACAGGTCTCCATCTCCCTCCTCACATGAAATGCAAGAACTTGGCAGTAAAAAACCTAATCAGTATCTCAAATGGCAGCATGTTATACTTTACAACACTTTTGATGCAGCAAAATACAAAGAAGAACATTCACTTTTGCACATTTCAACAATTAAGACATTCAGTGGTAGCAGCAAACATCTGAAAGCTACAATAAATATCAAATGTCATTGTTCTATCACTGAACACACATTTGTGAACTGTGATTAAAATACAATTCAGATGCTGAACACCAGTACACAGCTTGAGCAGCAGTCAGTAACAGACACAAAATATACTATAAAACCATACATTACATAAAACACATTTTTGGCACTTTGTAGCTGCTTCTGTCCACTGCGTCTTTCAGTGCACTTCTTACAAGTTTAGTTCCTGAGAGTTTGATCAAGGACACAATGGTGAGATTTCATGGATTGACCCTTGCTGGATTTCAACCACCTTTCTTTAACCACAAAGGTATGTTAACCAAACAATCAAACATCAGCGTGGACTGTGAAATGTTCCATTTCTTAAATATTACTGTTAAAAATGTCAGTTTACAGTTGACAAAGCTGCCTGAACAAGAGAGGTTTGCTGGTTAAATTAGGTGTAGAACAGCAGCATCCAAAACTCAACATACTGGCATTTCATCATCAATGTTCCTCTGTCCAAGCTAACAAAAACATATTCCAAGAACATTTTGCTAATGTTCCCATTGAGTTAAGAAAACATTATTTCTGAAAGGTTCAAAACATCAATTTTTTAAAAGAAAAGTTCTGAGAACATTTCCCGCTAGCTGTGGTAGTGTTGTCAAGATGACAATGATAAATAGTAAAGATGGAACATTATAATGCTAATTTGTATATACAGTATGTGAAGAGCACTCGCATCTTGCAATACGACATCTTTTGGCCAAAATGCCCATCTTGAAAACACATTTTCACAGCCAGCTATAAATAAACAAAACATTTGATATGTCAAGATTACGTTTACCTGCACCCAAACAATCTGTTAGTAATTGGATTGATGGCTCAACTGGATGGCAAAACCTTCCTGTAAACACTTTCGATCAGATTGAAAGGGGTAGTGTAGAACTGAAATAATCTGATACAGGATCAAATTAAACATGTAAATGCTTAAAGCTTGACTATCTTGGTCACGTGTATGTTCCCGTTTAGTTCCTGTTTTCCTTATTTGGTCCTTCCTGTTCCTGTCCTCGTTGTATGAATTTGGTTCCAGCTGTGTTTGTTTAATTAGTTAATTTGCTCCCAGGTGTGTCCTATTGGTGTCTGTGTATTTATAGCGAGTCCTGTTCTGAGTTTCTTTGTCTGGAATTGTTTATGTCCCCTCCTTGTGCTACGTGTGATTCCCTGAAGAAGAATATTAAACTCCTTTGTTTTGTACTCCTGGGCTTCTCGTTCCTCGCTCTGTGCTCCTCACAGTAGCAACCCGTGACAATCTTCTCAGTCCGATTAAAAAAATATGCATGATGTCTTACGAATGTCCGTATGCTTATTTAGATAGAACTGGTCAGTATGAGAGACCAAATATTCACTAAACATTTGCGCAAAAAAAAAAAAAAAAAAGACTCAGCTTTTTTTTTTTTTACGATGTTATCAGATCAAACATAGTACTTATACTTGTGGCAGCTTGAGTGACATTATCAAGGTGCTCCACAAAAGTACATCTTGTTTAAAATGGTTTTGACTAGAAACGTCACTGGTGTTGATGCAGACTACTGATTACTATGATGTCCCATTAGCCACAGCCTGATCAGTGGTTGTTTCTTGAACAACATTCATTTCAATATAATTTTCCCCAGATAGCAAATTTTCTGCTGCACCATTCTCCTGAAACAAAGAAAACAGAATCACAGAAGGTGATCAGGATTGATGATCCAGTTACACAAACACATCTGATGTTTGCTGAATGTAAAGATTCATGTTCTTCATTTTGAAGTAAAACAGCACAAGTGTGGTGCTCTCTTAAAATCAATTGTTATAAATTATAAACATAATATGAATTATTATTTCTGAATGAAACCACATATACTTTCACACAGAAAGCTCAAACAGATAAACGTCACAATGATCTCAAAGATCAGAACTGTTGTAAATTCATAGGGTAGTACCTCACCTCATCATGATTGTTCTGCCCCTTGGTGTCTGTTTAAACAATAAAACAAAATCTTAGTTTGGTCAATTACACTAAAAAGACACATTTTTAAAGATAATTTTTGTATAATAAATCCTATATTTACATTTAATGAGATCAGTTGTATGTAATACTTGCCATTTTGTTTTGTTTTTGTACATTTCTTGTGGCAACAGTAAATCACAACAGCTACTGCAGCTACGAGCAGAACACCACCAACAGCACCACCAATAACAGCAGCAGCATTTGTTCCTGGTGCAGCAGTTGAAGGTGGACCTGGATCTCGAACAGCTGAAGACAGACAGCCATTATTATTAGAGATAGTCTGAAAATCAACTGTATCAATACTTTTGACTGATTTTTACACCTTTCTGCTTTCAGCACAATGCTGTTTGATATGGATTTATTTGATAAATGGGGCCATCTGGTGGTTTTTTGAGCAACATCAGCTAAAATAGTGGCTTTCACAGGAAAATGTATTAATATATAAATACAATTTTTTCTTATTATTAACAATAGACTTCAAAATTGTAAAATGCATAATGTGACACATATCAATGTAACAACCGTCTGTCACTATAATATGACAACCTATTTGAAAATGACAGATTATCAATAATGAAACCATTTAGTTGGATGATTTATATTTCAAAGTGTTTTCTAAAACTGCTCAAGGGAAAAGGCACTGAATTAATAAATGATACTCACCAGCATCAGTAACACTGACAGTGAAGCTTCTAATGATGCTGATTCTGCTGCTGTAGATCTGTTGTTGATAAACTCCAGAGTCTGTGGTTCTGGTGTTTGTGATGGTCAGAGATCCAGTCTGATGATCCAGCTTCAGTCTGTCTCTGAATCTATCTTCACACTGATCATCTGCACAGATCTTACTCTGATCTCCAGTGATTTCAACAATGAGAGTGTCATTAAAATACCATCTCAGCAAATAATTTTGGCTTATTTCACCAGAGTATAAGGTGACATTTTCTCCCTCCTTTTTCTTAATTTCATCTTGTTTAGCAGCAGAAATATCTGAAACACAAACCAAACGCTGCTTGTTTTTTTTTTTTTTTACAGGGGAAAGGAACATAACATGAGAACTGTGGAATCTATAAATTACACTTTAACAGCAAATGTGTGCTTTAAGAAATTATATGTGAATTAATACACAGGTAAATATAATAAACACCGAATGTCACTACAAAAATATTAGTAAACATATGAATGATGTGATTTAAATGTACAATACTTGCTTTTAAACATAATAACTCACCATGGACGGCAAAACTGAAGGTCTTGTCACCCTCGCCATTGTTTGTACTGCTGATCCTTAGTTGAAAAAGTCCAGCATCTGTGGTTCTGATGTTTGTGATACTCAGAGATCCAGTCTGTTTGTCCAACTTCAGTCTGTCTCTGAAACTCTCAGTGTCATTATTACACTGAACATCTGTACAGAACTTACTGAGATCTCCAGTGATTTGAGCGATGCGAATGTCATTAAAATACCATCTAATTCTGCCTTGTTGGTTTGTTTTAACATCAGTTTGAAAAGTGACTGAATCTCTCTCCATCACAAACACTGAGACTCCATCTGTACTAACACTGAAAAAACCTGAAAAATAAATGAACAGTTCATTAGGATTTATAATAAACAATACTGCCCATGAAATTTTTATTTTGTACTTATTAAAATTGTTCTGTTTTCCACCACATCAAGGTACAATGTCATGTTTTTCTACAAAATCCGATTATTTTTAGTACTACTGTTTGAATCTGAATGTTTTCATTTACATTTTTACTCATTTGGCAGAAGTGTCCACTGCTATCACAGACAGATGGACTAGTAGACAGACTGGATCATTGAAAGGCTTTCACAAAACCGTATTACCTTCTGATAGAATCACAGAAATAACAAACATGGCAAGGGAAACGTCACCCACAGTCTTCAAAAAATAATTACTGGCATTAGGGCTGGGTATCGTTCAAAAATTTCTGATATCGATACCGATACCTTGACTTCGATACCGGTTGCTGAACGATACTTTTTTTCAAAACCAATTTTATGAAATCAATTTTAACAAGATTACATTATCTAAAAATAAATAAATAAATAAATAAATAAATAAAAATGTAACCAAAAAAATGTAAATTTAATAAAGTTTAAATAGTCTTCAGTTTACACATCTGTTAGGCTACGTTTAAACTAGTGCGTGTTCATTTTAAAATGCATAGCTTAGACAGAATCATCATTTCTATTCATTTTCCACTGATGATCATTAGCAGCTTCCAGCACTGTCTGCCTGTGTTCTCTCTTCCATGATCGCTGCTCTGACTCAGAGATAATAACATATTTCAGCAACATTACATGGCTAAAACACACATTAGACGGCAATCGAAAATTATTAAAAACACTCTATGGTGGTTTAAAGTGAGTTTTGAGTAAATAAGATTTATATTCCGCTTTTATTGTCTTATGTAGCATGATGCTACAGTGTGCATGAATGGTCACATAACACGCACTTTCGGTTGTGTTGTATGAATGAACCGACATCTGCATATGATCAGAACTCCACGCAGCTCCCGCGCTATTCTCCATTGGAAATGAATGACTTCCGGTCTGTCATTTGTCAGGGATAGTGGAAAGCCGGCTTGAAACACAGTGGAAACGCTAGTATGACGAGGATCATTTTTATTTGAAAGGGGTCATATGATGCTATTTTAAAGATCATTATTTTGTGTATTTGGTGTAACAGAATATGTTGACATGCTTTAATGTTAAAAACAACACATTATTACACAAATATATAGATATAAACATAGATATAGATATAAACAAAGATATAAACATTAACTTGATGTATTGTTTTTATGTTTTCCAACTCTAAATAAAAGTGACATCTACCAGTCACTTTTCTTTGCATTTTATTTTTAACAAAATCAGTTTTCCACAGCATTTCTATGAACAACAAAAAATTAATTTTTTGTTACTTACTGATAATACTTCACTGATAATCCTCTCTATGGAGAAGCGATCGGCGCAAAAGAATCGCTGAGTCAAAATTGACAGGGCTCATTTCCCAAAGCAACTACGGTCGCAAGTAGGGATGCAACGATTATAGTTTTTTATTGGTACGACTATTGTCTGAGGAATAATCACGGTTTTACGATTATGACGATTATTATGCATTTACTCATTTCCCAACATTACTAATGTATAAAATCACATGAACACTCTTTAGATATTAAAGTGTTATTTATTGCTGGCTTTTGAAACAGAAATAACACAGTAACCAACAATACAGCAAAAAATAATAATAAACAAAAGACAAACAAAAGTCCATCTCTCCCATTGGAATTTATTCATTACTTATGAATAATACTACAACAGGGATCAGGCACGTGCACAGGTAGGGCTCAACCTGTGCAGAGCACATGCCCTTTTTGTCCTTACACTCCGAAGTGCACTTTTTTTTTTTTCTTCAATAAATCAGTGCTATTGGTCACCCTTTACGTCTGTCTGTCTGTTTTACAAATATATTTAGTGAATGAAAGGTATTAAAAAGAGTTACCTTGGCTAAATCTTGTTGGAGCCGCTCAAACTGTCAGTCAAACCTCATAACTCCACCCCCTGTCTTGACTGACTGAGTGCAGTGAACTGAAGTTCCACAGCAGAGCAGCTGAACGTCTTGCAAGGGTAAATAAATATCTTCTTGTTTGTATAAGTACAGCGTTGTCTTTACGCAAGAAACACTAGTATGTCTACTGTATAAAGGCTCATGTTTTATGCATTTGAGGTCTGAGACCGGACCTGCGGAGAGAGGGCATTTGCCATCTAAATTAGTCATAGCCAATAGCCTACACTTAAATAGCCTGTGCATACAGTAGCATTTCATCTTTTATAAAATGACATTTTGGCCAAACGTATTTTACAACAGGAAAAACTGAGCGCCCATATAGCTACAACAAACTTTGTAACCTGTTGATCAAAACGTAATGTGATGCTGCCGTTTTAATGATGTTCTCTGGTGGAAATAAAGCTTCGCTGTTTGGTCC